ACTAAATGACCGTTATAGTGTCGATGGATGTGCTTCTCTTCACTCAAATGTGAAAAGTGTACTGAAAGACAACTGAACAACACATTAAGTAAATAAAATTATTTTTATTTATTAAAAAAACAACCCAAAAACAAAACAAGAAACAAACTTTATTGTACACAGTGTCAACAATCTATATATTGACAATACATATTCATACCTGCCCCCGGGGTTTTATGCACCCGCAAAATTTAGCAAAATTTGATCATTTTTTCTCTCAGAATTTCTGATTATTTTCCGTTATCATTCTTTGTTGAAATGAACAGAATCGCATAATTCCACATTTTTGGGCCCAGTTTGCATAATTTCAGAATGTTTTTTTCTTTTTTTAGTTGCATAAAACCGCGGGGACAGTCATAGTCATACAGTCTGCACAACTCCGAGTTTGGACCAACAAACCCGTCACAAACGGAGTGTAAAATGTGCGTGTGTGCAGTTTCTTCACACTGCACGCAATTCGCGAGGCCTTGTGAGCCGAGGCAAAGCAAATAGACCTGGTCTGATCTTTGAAATACCTCACCACACGGGCCTTACATCGGGTAAGGGAAATATAAAACAGTCTATCCCGCACAAAACAAAACACACACACACCTGGAAATACGCACACAGCGAAATACGCTCATAGCGAAATACGTTCATAGCAAAATACGCTCATGGCAAAATACGCACATAGAGAACACGCACATAGAGAACACGCACATAGCAAACAAGTATATTGCAAAACACACATGTAACAAACACGCAAATAGTGAACAGATTTCCATGTCCCGCATTTTTCTTAATCGTGTGCATTTGTTTTGTATGTAAAACAAGAGCATAGAGAAATGCGTACATAACGAAAAGATTTCCGTTCTCTGACGATTTCTAAATATTCGTGGTAGACTGTTATTATGATATATATTCGTTGCATAATTTGTTTTTATGTTTTTAACAAACCCTTTCAACAAGTTAACTGAGACGTTTCTCGGCCCACAAAATATACATAAAGTTGGTGAGTGAATCTAAACTCGTGACATTTGCAACAACAACAAATGGTAGCATACAACAATAGTTTGTCTTACAATATTGCTATGATTTTGCCTGGCCTCAACCTCATAATGACAATGTTTTGTCTAGATTGCAAACTAATAATGTTTTGTCTAAATTACACAATAATGTTTTGTCTAAATTGCAAACTAATCATGTTTTGTCTAAATTACACAATAATGTTTTGTCTAAATTGCAAACTAATCATGTTTTGTCTAAATTACACAATAATGTTTTGTCTAAATTGCAAACTAATCATGTTTTGTCTAAATTACACAATAATGTTTTGTCTAAATTGCAAACTAATCATGTTTTGTCTAAATTACACAATAATGTTTTGTCTAAATTACAAAATAATAATATTTTGTGTAACAGTAACAGAATTGCTCCGATATCGTTAAACCTCCAAACCCAAGCCAAGACTGAAATATAAAAACCCCCCACCGAAAATGAAGAACACTCAATATTAATACTACAAAGTGAAGCATTCACTTTTCTCTCAGATCAAAATCAAAAAGTATTACGTTTTTCTTTTGCATTTTAATCTTGTGGTGTAAAATGAGGCACTAAATGAAACATACTTTCCATTCAGTGCCATGCTCTGGGTCATAGATCAGATAGAATGATTATTGTTAAATTTTCGGACATGAAATTCCTTTGCTCTTAACGATGAACGTTTGTAGGCCCAGTTACGTAGAAAGTGACTGACACTGATTGAGTATTTTTAAGGGCATTACATACCAACTTCTGGAGCGCTCACGCATTTCTTAAAACATAGTGAAAAACATTAATTTATGCTTCTCACAGACGAAACAAAATAACATGTCATATTTTTCCATAACTTAAATGTGCAGAGTAAGCTATGCCAATAACACTGGCGTACGCTGGCAAAACGCCTTTTTCGAATTCACAGCAGTTTCGAGAAATCAGCTTTTTTCGTTTTTCTATAACCTTTGAACTGTTTTGCACAGTACATCAACATTTGATCTCTTGTCCTGAAGAAAAATGTAGTTCATTGTGCTCGACGTATAATATTATACGAGCGTAAGAAAACCGAAAATCGTTGATTTCTCGAAACGGATGTAAAAAAAAAAGAAAAAAAAAAGAAAAGGTGTTTTGTCAGAGTACGAGAGAACAGCCTTGCGCTCGTAGGTCGAAGGAAATTTTCGTAGGCCGTAGGAAATATTGGCACCTTTCTCAGTGCTCACAACTGTTGTTTGTGTCAGAGTCTGTCATTCGCCAAAGTCCCTTGCTTGCTGCTGCCAACTGTCTGTCACAGCATCGCCAGAAGTATTTGAAATATGCGCACATCTACGAGCTGCTCTCTCTCTCTCTCTCTCTCTCTCTCTC